CTGTGCTAACTAGTTTGTGAGAGTAAGTCAGGAGAGTGCAAGTCAGTAGGTCAGTAAGCTCTGAGGGAGTGAAGACAACAGCACCTGTTGTTTGGAGTAGGATTTATGGTGAAGGTACCCTTTTGGGTGCAGTGAGGAGACCACAGGGCTGAACGAACCCATCAGCAGCTGAGAGAAAATGTTTAATCAACAACTTCTGCACAAAATATCCCATCTCCTCCCTTATTTTTAATCACCGGGCTCAAGTGATTTTAGCAGATCATAGAATCATAGAAGGGTTTGGGTTGGAAGGGACCTCAAAGATCATCCAGTTCCAACCCCCCTGCCCTGGGCAGGGACACCTCCCACCAGACCAGGTTGCTCAAGGCCCCATCCAGCCTGGCCTTGAACCCCTCCAGGGATGGGGCAGCCACAACTTCCCTGGGCAACCTGTTCCAGTGTCTCACCACCCTCAGAGTAACAAATTTCTTCCTGAGATCTAATCTGAATCTTTTTGCTTCCAATTTAAAACCATTTCCCCTTGTCCTATCATTACCCTTCCTGGCAAAGAGTCCCTCCCCAGCTCTTCTATAGGCACCTTCAGGTATTGAAAGGCCACTATAAGGTCTCCCTGGAGCCTTCTCTTCTCCAGGCTGAACAATCCCAGCTCCCTCAGCCTGTCTTCATAGGAGAGGTGCTCCATCCCTCTGAGCATCTTCGTGGCCCTCCAGATCCTACAAACGTGGTGATTGATTTAAAACCTGTCGGATGAAGCACCACCATACGTGGCAGTTAAATGATGGTTTTTCTGGGCTGTTCTTGCATCCTGCTGGTGCCTCCTCTCCCCGCTCCAGAGCCGTGGGATGGAGCAGCCCCCGGTGCCCCTTGGCGTTAGGGGTAGGTCCAGAACCACAGCGTGTGTTCCCTTCCAGCTGCCAGCATGTGTCTGTCAGCTTTGACTGCGCTGGTGGTAACTGGGAGTCATTGTTTTGGGTTGGAAACCACGGCAACGGGAAGCGGTAAGTCATCTCCAGTTGCCACAACGTGATTGCTCTGAATATAGCCTTTATGAGGTGTATTTTTATACCCCATATGAGAGCGTGCTCAGCCAAGGGCCTGATCCACGAGGATCAGCAGTGCCTAAAGACAGAGAGAAAAGATGTAAAGCTCACTTGGATGCACCCCTCAGGCTGCATAGTCCCACGGGAGGCAGGACTGCACCTCATCCTGCCCTCTGTCCTTCACCCACCGTGCCCTTAAGGGACAGATTCTGCCTGGAGCAAGGGGTTTTTTTTAGAAATCCTATGGCCATTATTGGCAAAGAGATCAGGTCAAAGTATGAAATTTCAGCGCTGAAAAACTTAAATACCACAAGCAAGCTGATACAATCGACTTTAGCTCTGAGTAGCTTTAGAAAAATGAATTAAATTCCTCTTTGGGCAGCTCAGCTGCTTCTTGGTTCTCCTGCCAACTCTTACAGCTTCGCAGTCTTTCTCCTTCCCTCTTCTTTTTCTTTCTCTCCATCTCTTCTCCAATTTTGTGACAGTCCCATGTTACCAAGAAGGGAAATGACTTTCCAAGGGAGGAACTTTTCAGAAGACTTCAATGAGACGTGAACTCTCAGGATTCCTTCCCTCGCTCTTAATGCACTTGGCTTCTCTCAGCTCCTCCTCTTCTAACTGGGACATCCCCCTCTGGGCAGCGGGGTGAAGGAAAGGCCAGAGGAATGGCTGGAGGGCTGTGTTGGGTGGAGAGGATGCTGCTGAAGCTTGGCTGGCACTTGGCATTTGGGAAACTGCTGCTGGTGCATCCTTTTCGAAATGCATCATGTTTAATCAGTGCAGGTTGCAAAGGCACTTTTTTCTGGACATCTTTCAGCAGCACTGATCCTTAGCATTCCTTCTTCCTCAGGAAAACTGAAATGGTTCTTGTACCTGGCCCTGTAGGTGAGCTCCTTCCTCTGATTCCAGCAGGTCCAGGAGCCAGAGGTGCGATCGGGACCACCATGTCTTACCGTCACCTCTAGACCCACTTGGGGGTCTAAAGCAGGTCTAGACCCACCTTAGATCCACTAATCCATTAATTTCTCCCATTTCTTTTTAAAACTCGTGTATACTTTTGGTCTCTACTGCATTTTCTGGCAATAAATTTATTTATGTATTATGCAGAAAAATACTTGCACTTCTTTTTAACCCTCCATCTGGTAATTTCCCTCCAAGCTGCATAAATTCTTTGCTCTGTGGAATATGTGCTAGTCATTTCCAGCTTGCTTTCTTTTCATTACTTATGGCTCTTTGGCTCCTCACAGGCCTAAATGGATTTTACATGGAGGGATCGTGTGGTCTTTGGTTTATAACCTTTTGTCTTGGGGTCAGCTCACTGACAGATCGAGTTCAAAAACCTTCCTTAAGTTAACGAGGAGGCTCCAGCAGCACAGAATCTGTGCTCAACTTGTTTTTCTCCTGTTCAACCATCAGCCCCATCATGTAGCCCATGGGCACAGCCCCGGGGCTGGCAAAGGAGAGTGCCTGTCCCAAAGCCAGCAGCTCCTTTCACTCACAGGCCTAAATGGATTTTACATGGAGGGATCGTGTGGTCTTTGGTTTATAACCTTTTGTCTTGGGGTCAGCTCACTGACAGATCGAGTTCAAAAACCTTCCTTAAGTTAACGAGGAGGCTCCAGCAGCACAGAATCTGTGCTCAACTTGTTTTTCTCCTGTTCAACCATCAGCCCCATCATGTAGCCCATGGGCACAGCCCCGGGGCTGGCAAAGGAGAGTGCCTGTCCCAAAGCCAGCAGCTCCTTTCACTGACACTTGGGCACTCAGATGCCAGTGACACCATCTGCTCAGTCCAACGTCTCCTTATCTCTCAGCAACGTCAGCTTTAATCCGTGGTTTAATGATCTGGGAGGAAAAGTGCTCACACTGTTACGACTCCGTTGTTCCGTGTGCCCTAAGACTCACATAACTGGTAGTATTTATGGTGCTGTGTAAACTTGTGTAGGAGATGAGTGAGTTGGGGAGGAGAAAAGTCAACTTCATTAAGTAGAACAGCAGAAAGGAAGTTCCAGAGCCTACAGTACTGTAGGGAATAGAAAAGATTTTGCAATTATGCAGCGTTTCTCTTTAGTTGTTCTTTAACGATGACACGGCTCGGCTGTAAAACGTGTCTGAGAGGTGGTTTTATTGAGTTTGCACTTTGGATGGGAGCGTGGCTGTAAATCATGCCCAGCGTGCTGGAAACCTGACTGCTGTGCTTCTGTTCTGTCCCTGCTTTTCTTACTCACAGGATATCGATAACGAGAGTGACAGCTGACATCTCTCTGGCCAAGAGGTCGGTTCTCAATAACCCCAGCAAGAGGGCAATAATTGAGCGGTCGAACACAAGGTCCAGTTTAGGTAAGACAGCAGCACCTTCTGAGCATATTTGTGTACTGGAGGGAAGGGACGAGATTTCAGCCTTGAAGAACATCATCACTTCTGCTGGTTTAAACGTGTCTGCAGCATTTTCATGTATAATTCTGAATTTCACAAGGGGAGACAAGTGTTACCTGACTGAGGAGCGGCAGCAGCACACAATGTGCTGTGCTAGCCTCACATTAAGCAATTACTTTGTTAGAGCAAGCAGTATTTTAGTTATTATTTGAAAAAAAAATGAGCTGGGGGCTTGTAGGCAGAATATGGGTTCAGTGCTGATTCCTTCCAAGGTGAGTTGGCTTCACAGCTCCCTCTTCTCAGCCCCATGCTTGGAATTCCACATCCCAAGCTGCTGGAGAGGTTTCCCCTTGCCCAGCCGAGAAGGAAACATGTTCTTACTCCTGACCCTGGCACTGATTTATGTATTTTACACTGAACAGCTACAGCTTAATTTTCCTGCCAAGCCCTGAGAGCAGAGGCTGGGGTCTGGATCTTCCCAGATCTGGGGTCTGGATCTTCCCCCTCTCTCCTCACAGTGACACGGCTGCAGGGTTGCCCTGCCCTAGTGAATTTTCAGTTCTTTCCCAAGAAATTTGTGTGCAGTAGATACATGCAGGTGACCTGGTCTCTGGACACCATCCCAGGAGGTAGAAGGAGTTGGTTTTCAGCCTTCTCAGGAAGAAAAGGCTCTTCAACCCAGTTCTCTGACATCCTGAGTGGCTCAACTAGAGGTAGAGGTCGCAGGAGGCTTCACTTGTAGCTGATGTTCTAGTAGAGGAGAGGAGGAACCCCAAAATTCAATGCTGCAGGGCTGAGTGCTAAATCTTTTGGTGGCTGTGCATGTACGTTGCTCTGTGGAGCAGCTGTTGGGCAAATGAAATGCATGTGAGTTGCTGACATACGGCTCTTTTGTACTTTGGTGTAACTTAGAGGCTTCAGTTTGCACTGGGTTTATCTGTTTAAAATTCATCACGTGCCTGCGCGTGATTAAGAAGGATCAGAACAATGAATATCAGAAATACAATTTACATGGAAATAAATGTCTCCTTTTTCTAGAGACAAAAGTGCTTTGGTGTGAACGTTGCCATTAGTGTCGTCTTAAATAACACCCTGCCAATTATTTATCATAAACAAGTTTGTGTGGTTATAGAATTAGGAGGCCACAGTTCTGCTTTCCCCACAGACTCTTGTTTAGGTTAAATCAGAATTACAATCTGAGAACAAAAAAGTTCTAAGGAATATCAATACCTCACTTGTTGCCTGAAATAAAAAACCACTCCTAAGTTATTTTGCAGATTTGGAAAGTGTGCTTAAGTCTATTTTGTGTTAATAGAAACATGAGTATAATCCAGTGTTGAAATATGCTGATATTATCAATTAACATAGTACATATGTGTTTTCAGACAACAGAATTATCTCCAAGGTGATATTTATTTTTAAAATTGCCTTGAATAATAGGTTATTTTAAGGAAGTTACACTAATTCACATACGGAGTTCATACACTGAATGCATACACTCCATGAAAATAAATAAGCAATGATATTTTTGTCTAATTAATGCTGGGTTTGAGTGGCTTCACCTGTTTTATTTTCCTTTACTAGCTGAAGTACAGAGTGAAATTGAAAGAATCTTTGAGCTGGCGAGGTCCTTACAGCTGGTTGTCCTGGACGCGGACACTATCAATCACCCTGCACAACTAATCAAGACATCCTTAGCTCCAATTATCGTCCACGTTAAAGTGTCTTCTCCAAAGGTGATGTATCTCACCCTTCAAACACGTGCATTTGAGAGGGACCTGGTGGGCAGGTGGGAGTGAGCAGGGCAGTATCTGCTCCTGGAGAAATTTAGAGTGAGGTGAAGAGGAAAAAAGTGAAATGTTTAGATTTTAGAATGTCTGATGGAATTTCTGTTTTTCTGCCCTACACCTTACCCTGGCCTTCGGCTGAGCCTTAGACGAGGCACCCACCAGTTCAGGAGACAAAAAAATTCCTGAGGAACAAATTCTTTCTGTAGAAAAGAAGTAGCTGTAGTTGAGGGTTGTCTCTCTGCAAGCCCTAACCTTGGGCTGCCCTTCAGAGAAGACCCTTTGCCCACATCCCAGCTAGTCAGTGATGGTTGTCTATCTGTCTTCCTGAGGAACAAATTATTTCTGTAGAAAAGTAGCCGTAGTTGAGGGTTGTCTCTCTGCAAGCCCTAACCTTGGGCTGCCCTTCAGAGAAGACCCTTTGCCCACATCCCAGCTAGTCAGTGATGGTTGTCTATCTGTGCCTTCTGCCTGGGCCATGCTGATACACCATCCACAGTTGGGTCTGGGCCACTGTGGCCAGGCTGCTGGCCAGCTCTTGCCATGGAGCATGAGTGTGACTATTGATCAGGAGAGCAGCATGAATCCCACCACCACCTGGCTGTTAGTGCAGAAGAGGGGCTGGAGTGACAATGGAGACTCTGCATCTCAGGGACTCAGCACAGCGATAGTGGAATGGTGCCCAACACTTGCTGGAGTGACCACCATGGCACATCAGAGGTGTCTGCAGAGAGCCATGCACCAGTTCGTGACCAGCAAGTGATGGGGGAGGTTCTGCTGGACCCGCTACTGGGGGGTAAAAGGAAGAACTGGACAGAGTTGTGAAGGTGCAGGACAGCCTTGGCTGGAACAACCACGAGATGGTGGAATTTAAGATCCTGGAAGAAGCAAGCAGAACAAATAACAGAATTGCAGACCTGCTTTCTAGAACTTGCTACTTCTGGGGTAAAAGGAAGAACTGGACAGAGTTGTGAAGGTGCAGGACAGCCTTGGCTGGAACAACCACGAGATGGTGGAATTTAAGATCCTGGAAGAAGCAAGCAGAACAAATAACAGAATTGCAGACCTGCTTTCTAGAACTGGCTTGTTCAGGGACCTGTTCTGCTGGATCCCATAAAAGACTCTCTTGGATAACAAAGAAGCTCAGGAGAGCTCTGTGATCTTCATGGACAGCTTCCTCCAAGCACAAGGAGGATCTGTTCCTACGTGGAATTGGGCAGGAGAGCAGCGTGGATGAACAGGAAGCAGCCTGAGCTCAAATGCAAAAAGGAGACACGCAGAAGATGGATGTGGAGATGGGCATCCCAGGAGGAGTTCACCCTGGGGGCAAGTTAAGAAAGCCAGAGTTGAGCTGGAGCTAGAACTAGCAAGAGGCCTTAAGGGTAACAAAAAAGGCTTCCGTAAGAACGTGGCAAGTAGAAGGAAAGCTAAGGAAAGTGTGGGCCCAGTGGAGTGTGTGGCAGGAACCCACAGTAGCAGAAGGTTGATCTGGAGACCACCTGACAACCAGACATACACAAGACCAAGGGCCCAGATGGGATTCCTCTGAAGGAGCAGTCTGATGCCACGGCAGAGCTGTTCTCCATTACCTCTTAAAGCTCACAGTGAGCTGGGAAGGTTCCTCATAACTGGGAAAAGGCTGATGTCACATCGATTCTTAAGAAGGGTAAAAAGGGGGATCTGGAGAACTACAGGCCAGTCAGTCTCACCTGAGTCCCTGGGAAGGTTTTGGAGCAAATCCTCTGGGAAGCTGTTCCCCAGCCACATGTGGGACAAGAAGGGGATTGGGAGCCACCAGAAGGGCTTTATCAGAAGGGATTTACCAACAGCAAATCCCACCTGACCAACCTTTTGTCATGAGAGTGTGACCCCAGTGGACAAAGGAGGAGCAGTGGCTGCTGTTAGCCTTTATTTTAGCAAGGCTTTGGTGTGGTCTTCTTGTGGTATCCTGATGGGCAAGCTGGTGAGAGACAATCTGGATAATGAGAGAGATGGAAGAGGTACAAAGTCCAGCTGGCAACTAGTTACCAGTGGTGTCACTCAGGGCTCTGTGATGGGGCCAGCATTTTAGTTAATGACCTTTCTTGATGTACAGAGGTGGTGGGATCACCTTGGAAATGTTCAGAACTCAGCAGGACCAGGACCGGAGTGATCTGATCCAACTTAGCTGGGCCTTAACTGGGAGCGAGGGCCTGGCACAGAGACCTCTAGAGGTCCTTCCAGCTCCAAACTGGCCTTAACTGGGAGCGAGGGCCTGGCACAGAGACCTCTAGAGGTCCTTCCAGCTTCAACAATGCTGTTGTTCTATCATTCTGTCATTTTCTTTGCAAGTTTACGGAGAAATAACTTAGGATTCCTAACTTTTCCGCCCCTTAAATTCTAGTAATGAGCACAGCGGAAGGAAAAAAAAAAGAAATGAAAAAGTGATCTGAACTGTGTGTGCAAAATACCTTCTGTGCCCAAAATGCACCTCAGAACAGCTGGAACTACAGAGTCATGGCTCCACAACATAACGTGCTGCTGCTGTTGTGCCACAGTCCATCCTGCAATCCTGTATGATTCTATATGAGCACAGCGGAAGGAAAAAAAAAAGAAATGAAAAAGTGATCTGAACTGTGTGTGCAAAATACCTTCTGTGCCCAAAATGCACCTCAGAACAGCTGGAACTACAGCGTCATGGCTACACAACGTAACGTGCTGCTGCTGTTGTGCCACAGTCCATCCTGCAATCCTGTATGATTCTATGTAGCTGTGATTGTTATGGTGCTGTAGAAGATGATGTTTGTCAAAAATAAGCTACTGCTTCGAGCAGAGTAAAGCAAAACCACCATTCCCACTGCCTTTGGAGTATTTGCGAGGGGTCAAACATGATGCAGAGGGAAACGTGCCCAGCTTTGGGGGAGGTTATCACAAAGGTTCGTGTTTTTATTCAAGGACAGCATTTTATCCACTGTATTAAACATGTCTCACATGTTTACACCTCGAGTAATGTAGCTGTGATTGTTATGGTGCTGTAGAAGATGATGTTTGTCAAAAATAAGCTACTGCTTCGAGCAGAGTAAAGCAAAACCACCATTCCCACTGCCTTTGGAGTATTTGTGAGGGGTCAAACGTGATGCAGAGGGAAACGTGCCCAGCTTTGGGGGAGGTTATCACAAAGGTTCGTGTTTTTATTCAAGGACAGCATTTTATCCACTGTATTAAACATGTCTCACATGTTTACACCTCGAGTATTGTGTCCAGTTCTGGGCACCTCAATACAAGAGAGATATCGAGGTGCTGGAGCGAGTGCAGAGGAGGGCAACGAAACTAGTGAAGGGCCTGGAAGACAAATCATATGAAGAGCGGCTGAAGGAGCTGGGGCTGTTTAGTATGAGGAAGAGGAGGCTGAGGGGAGACCTCATCACTCTCTACAACTACTTGAAAGGACACTGTAGAGAGGTTGGTGCTGGTCTCTTCTCACAGGTAATTAACAATAGAACGAGAGGGAACGGCTTCAAGCTCCAACAGGGTAGGTTTAGATTGAACATTAGGAAGGAATTCTTCACAAAGAGAGTGGTCGGGCATTGGAACAGGCTGCCCAGGGAGGTGGTGGAGTCACCATCCCTGGCTGTGTTTAAGGGCCGTTTAGATGCAGTGCTGAGGGACATGGTGTAGGGGAGGACTTTGTAGAGTAGGGGAGATGGTTGGACTCGATGATCCCAAGGGTCTCTTCCAACCTCAATGATTCTATGATTCTATGAAACATAACTGAGAGTTTCTGAACCTGGTGGATCCTCCAAGGGGGTGTCAGGCTGAGCTTTACCGAGAGACGCCATTCTTAAACTCACATTTTTCCTCTTCTCCTCTGGCAGGTTTTGCAGCGACTGATCAAATCCAGAGGGAAGTCCCAGAGTAAACACCTGAACGTTCAGCTGGTGGCAGCTGATAAACTTGCCCAGTGTCCACCCGTAAGTACGGCAGAAGGGTGACAGAGCTTGTGACACGTGGAGTTTGACAGGTTTCTGCTGCGCTGACTGTAGCCGAGCTCCTGGGTTACCACGTCACCTTATGGCCACTGAGGCCAGGCAGCTCCAACCCTCGACCGGCTTTTATTGCCCAGAAACAAGTGGTTTGATACTTTCATCCTGATTATCTCCCGAGCTGGGTTTAGGACGGTCTTTGCCAAGGTGACAGGTCACAAATGACGTGTGTGGTAAAACTCGTGGACTAGCACCTGAGCGAATTACATCAGGAGTGAAGCAGGGCTGTCTTAAGGACCCCAAAGGGCCAAAGTCTGGGGCTCGTGGCACAGCAGCGGGTCATCCCGGGGGAGCACGGTCACTGCTCACCCACTGTTTTATCAGAGACGTTAATTACTCACCTTGAATCACCTGCTGCCCAAGGGGCAGAGCTCCAGGAGAGCTGACGAGGCAGGCAGCGCTGTGCGGAAAAGCTCCACGGGTGTTTGGAGAGCAAACTTGCTTTTAGTTTTGAAAACCACACCTGATTTCCGTGAAAGAGAGAGCCGCTCAGTAAAAACAAACTGGGATGAGGACTTTGGTCCTCGTTGGTCCGGTGACATCGCTCTGGAAGTGCTGTTCCTACCGGGGCAATGATCAGACAGTCCACTACAGCTTGCCCTATTGCCTGTTCTTTCTCATGCCAAACAACTGCCAGGAGAAATCAGATTGATTCAGAAAAATGGTCTGGTGGGAGGTGTCCCTGCCCAGGGCAGGGGGTTACAACAGGATGGGCTTTAAGGTCCCTTCCAACCCCAACCATTCCATGATCCTATGGAATTCAGAATAGACACCGGGAAGGTTTCCACGGTCTCTACTCTCTGACTTAGAATAGGCAAAGTGCTGACTAAAGAAGTGTCTTGGAAGAATCCAGGAACAAATCTGGGAGTTGGGATCAGCAGAACGAATGCCTGACCCTCGTGGTCAGATAATGCTGCTAGAAGACTTTGCCTTCTGTTCCACAGACTTACAAGAGATTGCCTTCATTTCACATGGCTTTTTTTCCCTATTCGAATGAAAGGAACAAAGTTCAAGAAGCTTTTGCTCTGGAGTAACGATCCACAAGGATTTATTTCTATAAAACTTGGGGTTTGTTTGCTTCTTAAGATAGCAAACTTCACAGCCTCCTCCTCTCTTGTCCCCGTTGGCCATAAAAAATGATAATTCAGGTATTTCTGGGCACTCCACCTAAATTATAGGGGTAGATGTTGCTTTCTGACTGTTCCCGTTGGTAGGACCTGAGGCTGAGCCACATCTTCTTTAGAGCTTTGGCTCTCACACCCCACAGATGTCCCCGAGCTGCCGTTGGTGGGAGGGGTGGTGCTCCATCTGGGAAATACCCCTCCGAGCTGCTGAAGCTGCCAGCAAGTTCAGGTTGTGTTTACCCAGTAGTTTCAGCCAAATACAAAGTGTGGAGTAATCAATGCGGGTCTGTCAAACTTTGAATTTTGGCAGGATTTGCAGTGTTTTGGTGTATTTTCAGGCCAGATTCACACTGGAATGTTAGAAAATCTGAGCAATCTGATTAGATGTCATGGGATGTTAGAAACTCTGAGCAATCTGATCTAGTTAAAGATGTCCCTGCTTACTGCAGGGGGGTTGGACAGGGTGACCTTTAAAGGTCCCTTCCAACCCAACATATTCTATGATTCTCTGATTCTAAAGCACAGAAAACAGGTAATAGGTTTGACTGAAATCTCTGTCCTCCTTATCTAAAAGTGGAAGGGTTCGAGGATGTGTCCAGAATGGAAGAGATCTGATTCAAATTCCACCTCTGCCTGATACAGAGGAAGAATTTCAATAATCCAGGAGAGTGCTGGTGGTATGTGGGAGGTATATCTTGATTTTGAATCGTAGAATTGCCCAGGCCGGAAGGGACCTCCAAAGGCCATCTAGTCCCACCCCCCCACAGTCAGCAGGGACACCCCCAACTAGACCAGGTTGCCCAGGGCCTCGTTGAGCCTCTCCTTGAATATCTCCAGGGAAGGGGCCTCAACCACCTCCCTGGGCAACCTGTTCCAGTGCTCCACCACCCTCACAGTGAAGAACCCTCTCCTCATCTCCAGTCTAAAGCTGTTCCCCTCCAGCTTGAAGCCATTGCCCCTCGTCCTGTCACTGCAGGCCTTTCTAAACAGGTTCTCCCCAGCCTTCCTGTAGGCCCCCTTCAGGTACTGGAAGGCTGCTATTAGGTCTCCCCGGAGCCTCCTCTTCTCCAGGCTGAACAACCCCAGCTCCCTCAGCCTGTCCTCGTAGCAGAGGTGCTCCATCCCCCTGAGCATCCTTGTGGCCCTCCTCTGGACCCTCTCCATCAGGCCCATGTCCTTCTTATATTGAGAGCTCCAGACCTGCACACAACACTCCAGGTGAGGTCTCACCAGAGCAGAGCAAAGTGGCAGAATCCCCTCTCTGGACCTGCTGGCAACGCTTCTTTTGATGCAGCCCAGGATGGGATTGGCCTTCTGGGCTGCAACTGCCCACTGCCTGCTCATGTCCAGCTTCTCATCCACCAGCACCCCCAAGTCCCTTTCCTCAGGGCTCCTTTTGCCGCTTAAATACACTTTTTTCCGTGCCCACCATGCCCATCGTGCCCCTGAGAGCTCGCTGTTTCCCTGGCGGGTGTGGATTTCCCAGCCACCCTCCTGCTGTCCCTCCTGCTGTCCCTCCTGCTGTCCCTCCTGTCCCCCCAGCCCCACGTGCAGATGTCCAAAGTGGTGGATGGCGACGGCATCTCCCTCCGGCTGGTTGTGTCGCTGCAGAGACCTGTGAGCTTCTGGTTACAGTAACTGTAGATGGCTTTCTCTCATCCTTGTTTTCCACCTCGAGCAGCACTGAAAGATGTTGAAGCCATCTCGAGTTCTTCTGGAGAGCACAGCTGTATCACATTTCTCACATGCCATTTTCTACGGAATTCTTACCTCTTAAAATGCTGATGGAGGATCCCCGTGAGCCACTCAGGTCCCGTTAACCACAACCAAATTGGGCACTTTTCTGTAGTGCAAAATAATTCCTATAAAAGCATATACCATCCCAGCTCTTAAGGGGTGTGAGCCAAGTTAAATGCAGCACCTGCACCCGCTTGAATACGGCTTGTGTTTACACCGAGCTTACACACAGAACAATGTTTGAAAGGTGTGTTTATTTTTCCACCTGCAGAGAGAAGGCTCCGCGCGTTTCACAGCCTTGTTTGCTCTTTGTATAGCGATTTCCTCTTATTCCACTTGGGTTTGCTCACACCAGATGAAGCCAGGTGGGGATGGAAATAAAGAGGGTGCAGGATGCAGGGCTGTCGCTTGTTCCTCGCGTCGTGGCACTTAGACTGTCTGTCCCCAGGATCCTCTAAACTATGGGTTTAGAGGATCCTGTAATTGTGTTTTGTTGCCTGAGACCCCCCCTGGATAAGAAAAATACTTCCAAATTTCAGAGTGTCCGGATTTCAAGCACGTACATACCTGCTCGGAGGCTGCCTCCCTCTCTAGGACCTTCTGCAGGAACCACAAATTGGGTTTGCACCGTTTGATTTCAGGAAAGTTCTTGCTGATTTGGAGCTCTCGAGGGGAGGGGACAGTCTTGGTGAAGTTTAAATTAGAGGACCAATTTAACCAAGTCACAGTGTGCTGCTGGGAGGCTGCTGGCTGGCTTGGGCACTGCGACCTCCTTCATCCCTTGTGCAGCTCCGATTCCTACAGGAGGAGTGTTTGGTTAAAGTGAAGATACTCGGAAACCGTAAAAACCTCAATATTTTATTTTTTTTTCATTTGCTGAGAGCCAGCCTTAAGTAATCAGATGGTGCTGGATGTCTAGACATGTTAAAAATAGCTCTTTTTTTGGCATGTTGAGTCCAGGAACCGCTTTCATTATTAATTCCTTGCTAATCTTTCACGGATGCTGCTCAAGCTGGTGCTTACTCTCCTTCTCCCGAGCCAGGGGGATGCCTCTGGAGTCAGGAATGTTTGATTTTGTGTTGCTGACGAGGGGTAATGGGTATTACCTGGAATATTTCACAGCGATTATACAGGAACCCAAAAGAAATAGCAGAGGAGAGTGGGAACTCATTTTATCTTCTCTTCAGGAAAGAACATGGCTTTCATCTAGATCACTTAAGTATGTATTCCATCACTAGTGTATGGAAGTAAATACTAGTGTATGGAAGTGTTCATGTTATAACTATTTTATACATGTTGAAAGACAATATTGTGGTGCATAAAGCGTGTTCTGAGGAGAACTGGGAAGAAATTGCTTTGCTCCCTGATCCTTACAAACAGGATCTCCTTTAAAGAACCTTTCACTCCAAATACACAGAAATAGAATGCAGAGTTGAGCTCTGAGCTGACCTGTTAAATGCAAGGAATAAAGCCTGAGTGCTCTCTCTGTAATTTATTTTCCCTGTAAAACACTGGAAATTGGGATCCCGTCAGTTTTGCAGCTTTTCCCCGTGAGCTCAGCCCGCGAGGGTCACCCTCACCCTCCTGCTGGGTTTTACAGGCAGCTCTCAGAGAGGTGGCAGCTCCACCACAACCATTAAAAGTTCTTCTTCTCTAAACTCTTATTTAATTTAGATCACTCTCAGAACACAGTGGGGAGCTACACGCCGTCACAGGATGGGGTGGTTTAGGAACGGTGTTACCCCGAGAAGAAGAGGAGTGGAGGCAGCAGGATTTTGTCTCACCTCCGCTTTGCTGCATGTTTCATTATGCCGACGCAGCATCTTATCAGCTGGTCCAGAATCACAGAATCACAGAATCACAGAATCCTGATCCTTACAAACAGGATCTCCTTTAAAGAACCTTTCCCCCCAAATACATAGAAATAGAACGCAGAGTTGAGCTCTGAGCTGAACTGTTAAATGCAAGGAATAAAGCCTGAGTGCTCTCTCTGTAATTTATTTTCCCTGTAAAACACTGGAAATTGGGATCCCGTCAGTTTTGCAGCTTTTCCCCGTGAGCTCAGCC